ACTTTGATGTACGTTTAAGGAATGGAACTTAAGACCAGCTGCGCTTTCCTGCTGGATGATGTGTGTTGCTTCCCAATATTGGGAGTCTAGGATTTCTTGAAAACGTCGTATTCAGGCCTCTGAAATACAATATTCATACGTTCAGCATTGAATTCCGTTCCGCAAAAACTCCCAGATATATTAATACCCTTCTGTGACGTTTATTAAGAAAGAATAGGCTTAGGAAGAGGTGTAATTTATTCAGCTTAAGGACCTACCTTACAAAGGGAAAGCAATATTATCAACAGGCGGTTATAATCGCTTAATTATCCTCTAGGCTATGTATTTTTAACCCCAAAACTTGCTTCCTTGCCGTTTGCAGCTGCCCACCAGCAAGGTTTGTTTCACTGGTGGAGCCTAAGTAGTCAGATAAGCTAGCTATATATTAATAACAGCAATAGGTCTGCGGCTTTTGCAAACCCTACGGTGTTCAGCAGAGTGAAAAATCTAATATACTACCATTAAAACAAATTATGCCATTTTAACCTTTTTGCTTGCAAGTAGGCAGCCGAAATGTTCTACATTCGCTCTGCAGGTAGTTCAGCATTGAATTGTACAATTGGCGCAGTTGAGCAATATCACTAGTGCTCAATGTGTCATTGAGTTTTACTTGAGGGGATAGGTATCTTCTTCCAACCGATGAAAAAACAGCTATCATTATATCCATTTAAGCATAACAAGTGCATCGAATATAATAAATCTTCCAAGGTTGAGAAATGTGCATGGATTCATAAATTTTATTTTAATCAATGCTGTTTCGGTGCGGACAGTTGTTTCGTTGTTCGGTTCTGTACAATTTAACTGACAGTCACACATAAGCATGTATAATTATCACTCTGGAAGGTAACAAATTGCCGTTTTATTCCTTCTTCTTCATAAACGTTTACTGAGTTTGCAGGAAGGACGATGTGGTCCATTTGTTCTGGATTGTGGTCAAGTTTACCACACACTAGTGGTTGAGTGTTGTCCCCAGTGTGTGTGCAGTTGTGTAGTTTGCTGAGCGGTGAATTAATTTTTGAGGAGCTGCCCTCTATTTGCAAAAAGGTGCGTTCTTTTACCACGAGAAACACAGTTCTACTGCAAACAGTGCTAGCACAAAAGCTGGATCTGTGTGAAGGAAGCGGACGTACAAGGTTAAGCTAAAGGCATTATAGTTTCTCTATGAAATGTACTCAACAGGAAATTATTTCTCTCAAATATTTGTGTCACTCACATCCGTGCAAACAAGATTAAAATAAACGCGGCTAGCATGCATCGTTTGTGAACTAACACCCCTAACTTTCTCTAACACACAAAAATGAATTCCTGAACAATTTGCAATTCAATGTTAGCTGTGTTTGTTTGCTACTACTAAGCAAATACGTCTATGTTTTGACCAGATTTGAAATTCCACAAATCAGAAAATCTTAAAGAGGGCGATAGTAAGCGTGCAGCACGGTTTTGATAATCAGAAACTCAGAAATTCCTTTATTTGGATACAATCTGTAGATGATACTGGCTTATGATTACTTCAATAAAAACCATAATCTCTTTAGAGAATATATGTAGCAGACAAAACAAACCGCATGGGTCCTGTGATCCGATAACAAATCTGTCATGATTTAGTTATTAGTAGCAACGACCAGTGAGCAAATATCTGAGAAACGGATCGCTGCGGCTTCATTGGTGATCGATAAGCCATGCTTATATGCCATGTTTTGCGTGTATACTGAACAGAGCAACACCTACATAAATTACTCCGTGGTTTTCGAGCTATACGTGGGATTCCAGTTTGAACGTGTGTCGCGCGTAATCCAGCCGATTAATTTGGACAATTGTTAGTTGGTTAGAAGTAATCAGCGCGGCGGTACATTAGGAAATATTATAAACAGCAATTTCATTTGGGTTACCTAGCAGTTCTACAGCCTTGCTAACAAACATTATATAAACAGAACTCGAAAGTTCTCCTAAAATATAGCGACGCGTATGCGTGTAATTGCGATAGTAAAAAGCGCATGTTTACTGTTTGAGTTTGTCTGAAAATGTCATTTTTGACTGAAACGCAGAATAGATGATCACATGCCATGCCTAATCTGTTACATAAGCAAAGAAAGCTGCTTGCGCGTTTGGCGAAGTCAGCATAAAAAATGAACAGTCTATTGCATCTCAGGAATTTTCAGTGCCTCAATATTGTATATAAATTAGGCGACTTAGGATTGGGTTTTTGGAACTAGTTACTACCTCCAACATTGTATCATTAGCGGTTTATCTCAAAACTAGTTGTACAAAGGTTAGCTTGCAAACGAATGAATATTTGGGTTTAAAGAGGAATCAGCAATCATATATGTAGAGTAGATAGCCAAAAACATTTATTTAATTAAAGGTTAATAAAGCATTTGCAATGAATAATAGTGCACGCGAATTTCTTCACAAATAATGAAAAAGCTGTTCCTGACACCCTACAAAGGTAATGTTTGACATTTCCATTACATAGATTGAGCGGCAGGACGCAGCCCAACAGACTTACCCAAAGCTATTCTTAAGCATTACGTGAAAGTATAATTCGGATTCAATTTGTCGATGTGACGGTTCTGAGAATTTTATTGAAGTCAAACATCTTTTAATCTGTGTGAAGTGTGACGCATAACGGTATCATACATCCACGAGATTCTCGAGAAACCTTTTGCATGTTTATTATTCAAAGCACGAAAAAACATTCCCGTTTTGCAATTTCAAACATTCAACTAGAAGTATAAGGTGGGTGAGGTAAGTCTACTTTTGTCCACTTCAGAAGAATTTCTTATGTGCATTTCCGAAGCATAAGGAATCAATATAACAAATAGAAATGTTCTGTGGTATAGCACGATGTTTGAGCTACACTAAGACGTTGCATGTTTGTGTTGCTACGGACAAGTTTGACTATATGTTAATTTACCGAAGTTTTGCTTTGTTTTCACATGTTTTAGAAGAATTGAAGAGAACTCCAGCTGGATTCCTATTTAAGCAGTTTCCTTTTATTGTGACAACCGTTTGATTTCAAATCGGTCAGTTATCTCAACCGAGCAACCATTAAGCGAAGAATTAATTGCCTGCAGGTTGAACAACCTAATAGTTATACTGCGCAACATTATTACTATCCCAGAAATGAAGTGGCATGTTTCTTATGGTACAAAAAGAACTGCTTAGGAATATGTAAAAAATGTTGCTATTTTTATGAGTTCTAATGATAATTTTTCATTTCTGCTTAGCTGTGCGTTCGATGCATTGAATGCTCGCCTGTGATTGGTCCATTGGCTCCTGCTTGTTGGGGGAAAGAAGTCCTCTTGGCCGTGGTTTCCATCTGATACTAAAAGTCGTTTGATAGCTGTATTCACTTATTGGTCTATTGATCATGCTTCAAAGACACTGCTGTGTCAATGACCTTAACCATGTTTGTTACGTCTGTTTACAGTTTACTAAAGGTTACACTGCAGATGCATTTCTTCCCTACCGTAGTCTGCCAACCACGCATATTTTGGGATGAAATTGGGAGATCAGGATACGAAATGGGTGCCGCATATTGTTTGTATCGTGCAATCTTAATCTGACTTAGTGGCGCAAGGACAAAGGCAAGATGCCCTATGTAATTACCCTTTTGTGGAGAGAGCCGAAGTATCACACGACAGACTACTACTTCGCCTAACCAGTGGCACTGGAATCTCTAACCGAAAACGAATTTAATGACCACATTTTTCAGTCAGCTTTTCCAAATGTACCACATGATTTCACCTTACCAGTGAACAAGTAACTGATGATGAGTGGTGATTACCTTGACCCAGAGATCTGTGAAAAGTTTGATACTGGTTAAGTCAGCTGACGTCTTATTGAACAATCAGAGCTGAATAACTTGGTAAATGACCTGAAATTTCCTAAAGACAAGGCCGAGTCGGTGGCATCAAGGCTGCAGCAGTGGTACTTACTTGCTGCATACCATAAGGTTACTGCATGCATAAAGTAACGTTTTACATTGTCCGGTTGCCATGACACAAGAGAAAACGTTTGTTATTATTCCAATGTAGTAGGACTGATGAATGAGCTTTGCGTGATGCATATCAGTAATGAATATCATTTGTTCATTGACTCGTCCAAAAGTAGTCTTAAGGTCACTGTGGGAATGTGTTCATAACTGTGTCTCTGTTGTATGCCACCAATATGAAAGGGAGGTTAAAGGTATGCTACAGATACTCGCTGCACTTAACAACGATAACTGCTGTTGAAACTCTGTGCTGGCTTCAAGATCATTGGACTCTAATGGGTATGCAAGGAGGCTTCACAAAACATTGCGGTTTGTTTTGCTTATAAGCTAGTAGAGCAATTCAACAGCTCTACACATCAGTAAATTGGCCGGAGAGGAGGAAGTATACTGCAGGGAAAATGAGTGGAAAGCATGCACCTTTTGTGCAACCAAATCATATCAATCTACCGCCACTGTACATTAAGCTTGTTTTATAAAAATTTTGTCAAATCTCACAAGCGAGTTTGTGCGTTCCAGTACCTGAAATAAGATTTTCCGAAAATCAGTGATGCGAAGCTTAAAGAAGAGATACTTACTGGGCCTGATATTCACCGAATAATAGTAGACAGTGCTTTCGAACGCTAGTTGATTAAACTTAAGTCAGAAGCGTGGCAATCATTAAAGACAGTGGGTACAGGATTTCGAGTCTAGACCAAAGGCAGAGAACTACGACGACATCACATAAATGCTCATTGCCGACTATCGAGCTGTTGGTGCTAAAATGTAACTCTTGATGCACTTTTTGCATAATCACCCTGATTTTTCCCTGAGAACTCGCGATCTGTCAACGATGAGTATGTATGCGCTTTCACAAAGACATTGCAGTCATGAAGCAGCGCTTCAGTGGCAATTACAAGTTTTCTATTATGAGTGACACTTCATAATTTCTGCAGCATGAAGGCGCTGGATTATATAAGTGACGACTTTATCGAAGTCATACTTACCAAGTGCCAAGCTGCATTCAGTATTAATGTGTTTGCCACATATAAACATTCTGTATTTGTAGTGATTCAGTACATATACATAAAATGCATGCCATGTAGCCTTGACATTAATGAAAATAATCATTTGTTTATAACTATGTTGACTAAGGTGCTAGGTAACATCGGAATATATTTCTACTATCCGTGGAGTGTATTCTATAAGGTTGGCATATGGGCATTTCTGTTATAGAAATAATGATTTTTGCACAGAGTAATAAAAAAAATTCAGCGCGGAGTAGCTGTTTTATATTTCTTTCTTATGTAGAGAAGAGTCTTATAGCTTTACTTGCGTATATGTTAATTTTAGGCAACGTTAAAATTAAGTCTCTATGAAACCACATAAAGTGTCACCTGGCTGACAAATGGGAGAAGCTCCATGAAACCTATTCATGCTCCGTTGCACCAATCGCAAAGTTTCTGCGGCAGCGCTTGACTTCGGTGTTTCAAAATACAAGTAAAATTCGCGGCCAATACGCATTGTCTGTTTGTCGGCTATGTTCTGCATGGACGGCGGAAGCACTTCATTGGAAGACGTTAAAGAAATTTCATTCGAATCCAAGGCATCTATGCTGTTGGACGCGGGTGTGCTTGCAATAGTTTGCACCATCACGACATACTGTCTTCCTGGTTTCAATGATTTCAGCAATATAGAATTCTCCCCCTGGAAAAAACAAGCTATTCTATAGCATTTTTCCAAATATGCAACGGGTCAATATTTTAGTTTAAAATTAGCCATGGCTATTAAGTCAGAGCACTAAGGATAGCTACACAATAGAAAACTTGTAGATATTCAACAACCGGCATCTATTGAATACATATTGCTCATTTGTTTAGTTTATGCACAGTTGAGTGTATATATAAAATTCTGCTTCATTCATTCTAAGGTAATAGGTATTACAGGTTTTGTAGAATATAATTTGATGGCGTAACTTGGAAACAGGACAAAATTGGTTTTGAACATAAAAGCTTAGAATGAAAACGTAATTTGTATCCCGCACCAGCTGCATCCCAGAGAAATTGGTGTCATTTCAGAATACTCCAGAACGAAATTTTACATACTCGAGCTATTTAAGATGGCGCGTTATATGCTACGCCTTACTGCTCGTACCCAGACAGCATAGCTTAATTATAATGATCAAAGTTTGCTCTCTGCAACGTGTGTTGGTTGGTTGAAGGGTACACATGCTCCCTTACAAAATTGTGCATACGCATTAGCCAGTTTTAATCCGACAAAATTCCATTAATGGATTGCATCATTTAATGATTTGTAGCCCATGATTCGTGAATTCCACGTAAGCGTGTCGGAATCCTTACGTGGAACACTGCATACATTTCGCCATTCTAAGCTTTTCATGCCTATGGTTGCTGGATACATTTTCAAGTGAACCTTTGATTGTATTCATGTTGAGGCGGTCTATACAATAGGTAAATTTGCGAGCAACGTGATCTTACCGGATCCCACCACCTTCAGGTTATTTGTTCCTAGGGTTCACAGGTTAAGAATTATTGTAAAATATGAAGTTATTAACATATACGTTAGTTTATCTTTAAGCGGCAGGTGGTAGTCAATCCTAAATACCTAATGTTTAACACGCGCATTGTACTTATAATTCGGCGCATATATTTAACTGGGAAAAGTAATAAAAGGTAAATATTAAAATTCTTAACTCGACTTCCTGTAGTACGTAATTCATGGAAGTATCCTTGTCAATAGAATAAAAGTTTATTTGGGCGCGTAAATCAGCCAAGGCTGACTGCTTGTCTGTGCATGAAAAACAACTTAACTACCGATTGCTTGTCATGTAAACTGCAGATATTGAATCATTATGGGACAGCGCAACCTAAGTATATCAACTTAATTCAATACTTGAAAAAATCAAATACACATGTTAAAACTATAACAATTACCACAAAACATTGAAGACAATTGTATTGCTCACCAGACAGTAGTGGCATTATCTTAGACGCTAAGCGATATACATAGTAGGTAATTCGTTGTAATGGTTTTGCCATCCTCAGTAACTCCAGCTACAATAAGTAGGAGTTTTTCATGTAATGTAAATCCTTTACTGTAAATGCAAGCACCTTTAGGTAATAATACTTTATTTTAGGTAAAAATGATGCAATATATATTCTAAGGTTGGTGAATTATTACGCATGCAAGAAGTCCGCAAATATAGATGAAGAAATATACCTTAAGCCACTTGCGCCCATATTTGGGAAGTTCCTGAGCAATGGGTACTGGGTTAGACGATTTGCAATGGTGACACCTCTAGTCAAATGTGTGTACACATATGTAGGAAAATCGTCGAATTATAATGGATTTCGAAATTTTGTATTTAGAATGCAAATCGCAGAATCCGCTACAGTGCGGCATGGTTTTCCCCATTGTGGTACGTTTCTAAATACTAGTTGTTCAATGGTACATGAACGTCCATGCACAGTATATTTTTACTGCTGACCATATTTAAATAGACTGCTGATAAACAAGTGTATTGTCTTGCAGTCGGTGCCAAAATATATTGCATAGTGTAGAATCAAGGCATGGAAATGCCCGAATGTTTAAACGCATATTTTACTGCTTTCCGGATATCATTTAAGATACTGTTTTAATCATAAATCTTGGGAAAACAAAAAATCCACATGCTCTCAATGATGGTTATTAACTAAAGCTAGCATTAGTTGTTAGAACCGGCACTCTTGCCAACTATCAATTCATCGGCTTCCTAATGGTAGCCAATAATTGTATCCATTATTTAAACAACTTAAGCTGAATCCTAAATTCCCCGTGTGTGCCAGTGGTAGTTCGTTAATTTTAGGACGCATATATAAAAATGTATAACAAAACGCTTGTTGTATTGAGACTAGCAATATATGACTTGACGTTATACTGGGCACTGGTTGCCTGGGTGACAGTTGCGCATTTGTTTCCAGTGTCGCTGAGGGTCTTGGAAATATTCTCCAATCAATAGAAAACTCAACAGGATTATGATGCACCATTATGAAAGCACTGCATGATCTAATTATGGAACCGCTAAGGCTTTCTTCCATTTAACCTAGTGGCAGTTATAACGTTCGTCCAGCTTGTACCCGAATTCCGTTAAGAAAAGGCAAGCCACTATTAACCATTTGATGATTCATTATTAATCTCGACAATATAGAACTGAAAACAAACGAGCATTTCATCTTTTATGATTTAAATCAATTTCGTAGGAAATTATCTTAAGCTAGATATAACCGAAATCTGAGAAATTCATTACATCGGTGAAAAGTGTAGTTGAGCATTTCCGAACATGTTAAATATAAAACATCAATTTGGTATTTTTTTAGGCTTCTGGCAAAGCCGCGGCTAAGAAATAATGCACCTAAGCGTGTTACAAGTTTCCTGAGAAACTGCATGATACTTACGTTCCGCAGCACTTTAGTCTCAGTAAAAATAGGATTGATGCGGGGAAGAAGTCCCGGTGACTTGTTCCACAAAGTAGAGTTGATTGCTTGGTCTTGACTGGGACCCCAAACGACTCTGAAACAGTAAAACGTAGTTATAAGGCACGTGATTGAAAACGAGAAACAAACAGCAAGGGGGCATAATTTCGCCGACTTCTCTTTCGCCTTCCACTTAAACGTAAAAATTAGTAAAAGGAAAGTTATGCGAAGAGAGTTTACCGCAAATGGATAGCATTGAACTAATATGGAAAATGGAACAACCCGAAATGATTATTAAAACCAACGCAGTCTGAAAGCTTTATCGCCTTTGCATCACATTATTTAACGTAGCTCCTGATTACGCTTAAGTTCACTTTGAATAACTTGTCTCTGATTCACAGCTACGGATGCATTCTCTATCATTGGGCGTAGGTCAGATGCAAAAATGCTGGTTTATGTAGTCAAACTGAACGTTTTGTTGTACTGTGTTCACATACGGAACAAACTTAAGCCCCGTGATCTAGCTGTTTGCGTTTTAGTGAAAATACCAATATCTTGCTTTTAAGAAAGTCATAACACGGCAATAAACGGCTTACGGTAAAGTTAAATATTTGACCGCTCTAAACGCAATTTAAGAAACAGTCCTCTGATTAAGTGCTTAGCCATAAATCTTATGGAAAGGTTAGCAGTGAAATCCAATATGCAGGGTATCTGTTTTTGCTGTTATCTCGTTCACAGACGCATGGAAAATCCGAGGTTAAAAACCACCTGCGACTATCGATGTTGGTATTCATTCGCCTTACAATGTAGCCGCTTGAAGTAAACAATGGAACGCAAAAAGCACATAATTGCGACAAATGATTAACCTTATATCTCGATGGAAAATCGCGATATATGAAATACAATTTGATAATAAAATTCTGCTCAGAATTATTAGTTTGGTAACGACGAAGATGTGATCTTACTTTGAAAACCGAAAATCTTTGCCTAAATTCGGATGTTATGTTATATAAAGTGAAGAAATAGTGTACATAAATGCTGTTACAACATGCATAAGCCTTGTAAACGTCAAATGGATAATTGGTAAATTGGTGGATTTTCCTTGAACTCATGAGCATGTCCCGGCGTGTCTCAATTTTGATGCATCTAATTTCACGCAGTTACATAATAAAAGTTTGGTGAATATTATTTTGCTTTTCTTAGTCAAATCGGAACTGACAGAAACATTCAGGAGACTCAAAGTTAGAGGAAAATTTTTCACACACAGTATTTCTTACAAATACCGCAATTTATCGGCGCGTTTGCAGAAATCCACACTAATTTATGCCTTACCTTGGGTATGCACACCATAACTTAGATATTTCTGCATCAGGGTGCTATTGGCAATGATTAACAAAACCTACAAAATCAAACATTTGGTAAAATTGCTGCATCATATTTAGCATCTGGCATCCTAGCATTTGTCAAACTAGCATAAAATCAACTACGACTGCAAAGCCGATTTCTCCCACAGAGTCTTAACTTCACCGTCCAATGCTTCCAAACTAGTAGTATCTAGTTAACCACGGTCAAATTGTGTTTGTACCTGACAAGTTTAGCATGGTTATCAGCTTCGGTTATTAGTCAGGCAGTGTATGTACGGTTTGCAGGATAAACATGTTGTACATTAGCATGACCCAAAACACTGCTCCATGAAAATATGTCTTAAAAGGCCCACACGGTCGGGGGTTAAAGTTACTTATGATTCATTTTCCCGACCTAGTTGTAATCCAGATTAAATAAAACAGTGAAACATCGGTAGGCAAATCAATATAAAATTATCACCAGACTTGATGAAAGTAAGGAACAACATATATGTTTATTTATTTTACTGCCAAGCGTAATCTTCACTGATATATTTTTGCAAATATGCGAAAGACTGAGATATATATTGAAAATAAAAGTGGCACCCATCCAAAACCACGACATTTTGACACAAAAATCCACTCAGAGTCTGAACTTAGTGCCTAGATTTCCAATGTGTTTACAGCATTTACGCTATTGTACATATAAAACAGTGCCCTTCTAAGATCTTAATCCGTTTGGAGTCCTTCAACAATCATCGACAATCGACCCACCGCAACATTTGTTGCATTCGCTTCGCTTGATGCACGTGTGAATTTGAGGGTTGTGGCGAACGCTTCGTTAAAAATCTTCGGATGTCAAGACCATCTCATTTGTAACATGTTGTGTCATGGATACCTTTCGACACGCCAAACATGGAATCTGACTTCCATACGACAATTTAGAGTGTAGCGCTTCCTTGTCAGCTTTGGCTTAAAATTTTAATGCTTAAAGAAAAAGATCATAGCGCGAATGAATTCGCTTTGGCGCCACAGGCAACACAACAAATTTCCATATCTATTCAACTAGTCTTACTCATAATTATTCATTCCGTAACGTGCCATGTTTTATAATAAAAGCAGCTTTGTACGCATTAAAGGATATCAGCTTGCAGTTTTTGTATAAAAGTACAACCCAGTACCTGTATTTTCTCGGTGAATCCACTTGGATAGCTGTTTCCTCCTTGGAAGTATTTCCGGAAAAATGCAATCTGCTTTCGCCAGGTTCACCACCCTTCTCAGGATCCAGGCACCCGGGGTCCCAACTAATTTTATAAAGAAGCGGCTGCTTTTGAATCATCTGATAACGAACATTCCGTATTTCCGGCCCCTGCGCTTTAATAGTGGAAAAGAAAGAAGATAATGAAGGGTAACCCATTACACTGTAAGCTGGGCCTGACAGAGTCGACCTCTATATAATTCTGGGTAGCTTTTACTAATTGCGCAATATGTTTATTTCAAAAGCAAAATTTCCATAATGTTGAGCATATAACTGTGAACAAATATGTTTTGTCAACATGACCCAACCGTAACCATGAGCATTTTCAGAGTTACTATGGGTTGTTCAGTGTGTTGGTGTACATGGTAATACGTTTCACATCACTAGTATTACTTTAGTTACACAGTAGCATCTTTTTTGTATCTACAATCTAATCATCCTTCGGAAACTCAGATGCGAATCTCAAATCAAAATTTTAAATGGTTTCACAAAACACCTAGCTGTAGTCAGCAGATGGAGATTAACAGTTTAGTGGATGATCAAATTATTCTCCAGATACATGCATGTGCATTGTAGTTATTGATGGTTATAGGAATAAAAGTATATTATGTCTGACTCGATAAGTTTATCTATGGGTACTACGGAAAAATAAAGCGTGTCCAACTGATTCCTACTTTCCAAGTTACAGAAGAAAATTTGTCGTGTGTTATCTCTCATTACCAATCACGGTTCTCATTAACCTAGACCTATGATTTGTAATACAACAAATACTCTTGGTTGCTCTTTTGCTTTGACTCTTCAAGAATACTGGTGACAATTTTGCATGGAATTTTCACTGAATTACTCAGCATAAATTACAGCTATAAATTTGGTACTCCAGGACCCTTACATATGTACCATATGCTATCATCGTTATTTTTGCACCAGTGCCTATAGATTTCTACAAATCAGCTCTTTTCCTAGTATAGCAAAGGATCCTGAGCTACTGGTCAGTCAGCAGTATTTTCATCGCTCTTGCAAAACCTAGTGAACGGCAGCAATATTCGCTTCCGTTCGAAGATCGGCTAAGATAAAACGATATAAATATATTTATGTTATTTGCAGTCATTTCAGCTTGTATTGATTTAGGAATTGATTGGTTTAGGAATCTGATTGATACTAGGAATTGATTGATTTAAGAATCTGAGTGTCTAGGTTGTGATGTATAATTGACTCAGTAAAACGCCGGTGTACAATTTGTATTTGTGGAAAACAAACTTAATTTTCCTTTCCACAATGTTTTAGTTGAATTCAATGGTTCAGTACATGTTGGAGATTTGATATTACGTTTTAACCAACTGCCAGAATTATTTCTATTTCCTAAAATGCAGGTTAGTCTGCATAATGCACAACAATGCATTTGAAGCCGGCAACTCAAAATTCCTGAGACGACCGGCACATGAAACTGAATTTTAGGTTGTCCTTACCAGGTGCGACTTCAGTGAGACAAATGGTTTTTAAAATTATGCAGTGGGATGCCATTTGCTGCGAATTGTAACCGGTCATACAAAGTGCATGCATTAATCAAGGACAGTAAGGAAACATTTACGAAATTTTGCAACCATTCGTTGAATGTTTAAGTCGGCGGATGAGACAAACTCCACCATAAAAATGATTTTTGGATCCGACTGTGCTGTTTTTGAGAAGTGCGGCGTCCAAATCTACTGCTCGATCTGGGTAGCAAAAAATAGATGGAAACTCTAATTCTATGGTGAAACTATGTATCAGACTAGCTGATTAAACCATCAAAGAAATGGGTAGTTGCTCATAATCCTTTGTAGAATTAAGCAACTCAGATCCGACCACAGGTGGAATACGGAAAGCGATCTGGCTTCATCGAGAACCAGAAACCGCACACATGCATTTGTGATTACTTCTTACGTAAAATATATTTATGCTGTCACCACGAATGTTTACACATATTAAGTTGACAGCTAAGACATTCGTGAAGACTGATACAGTTCCTTTCATCAATGTGTGGCGACGTAAAAGCGAAATGTGATGAGGCAAATAAAAATTCAAAGAAATAGGTGAGTGATGAAAGACTGGGGTAAAACGATGAACAAAAATAATATTTAAGAAGAGAGGTACAGGTTAGAATCAAACAAACGCATGCACTGTCATGCATACCAATTTTCATATGATTGCAATATGCATGGGCCCCCACTTATCCCCGAGTAATCTACATAGTTTGGTAATTCACTGAGAGAAAACATTTTGCACTTTTGTGAAAGCTTTATTTTATGCCAACGGGAAGAGAAAGACGCACCTATTCACTGAAATAGGCTTCACAATTTCAGGATGCAACACATCTCTTTTCATCAATGTCACTGGCAGATTGGTATGCCGTACTTAACCGAGGTGTCCACACGTACGCCTTTTATAAATGACATTTGTGGGCCTCATTTCGCATCATCTTTAAGAAACCAGTCGTACCTAGATCTCAGGCTTTCTTCCAAATGTTTCGGAAAGTACATCTATTTTATTACCATGCAAACTCATTTTGGACTGCAGTCGGCCAAATTTATTGAAGTGGAAAACCCTTGCATGTAATTAAATTGCTTCACATGTGTACAAGGAAACAACTTATTAACCATCACCTGGTTATTTTTACGTTAACTACCTAACAGTTCTGATGCAATGTTTGGCCTAACAAATATTGCAACGTTTATATTTGTGAGATAGTAACAGCGTTCAAATCCACATTATACTTGAATACTCAAAATGCACGCACATTGAAATCTAATATATGATTAAAATCGCGATATCACAGCCTTATTCGCAGCTTAATAACATTATATTTCTTCTTATCCAAGTGATAAGTAAATGTTTACAACGGGATGAAAATATTAGCAGTTTAGGTCGATTTATCTTAGCAATAACAGTGTCAAAATCCGTCCCAAACTCAAAAAGATTTCATGTCAAAAATAATAGTAAAGACAGCGCAATCGGCCCTAGTAGAAACATGATAACACTGTAGAGATGAAGCGGTAAAATCTGTAAGGGTGTTGTCCTACCTGGGTCAAATTTCAGAGCTGTACCCGGATTCTAATGTCAGATAATGTATTCACGGTATGCAGTGAAACAAAAGCTTCCAGAAAACCAACGTGACCTCAGAAAACGACGGTAATTTATTTTTGCAAAATGCTTAAAGTTAAAAAGTGATGATTGATAAGTGTACTGAGCAGGTGACTGAGGATCACGTTGTTAAGGTGTCACATCGCACATGTTATGATTTTGAAACAATGCGCATTCCTCCTAAAATTAACCGTACCTTCATTTGTCTACATTTGCAGGTACGAATGCTAATCCTTATAAGAATCAGAAACCACAACTTTCGTTATTTCAATTTTATTAACCTATTTAGCAAATTATAAGCGCTTTTGATTAGGTAATATTGTATCAAGTGCGTCCTCTTATTAGCATTTTCTTCAAACATATTTATGCAAATAGAAACCTTACACTTGCTTCATTCTGAATGGATGAAGACTAGTGTTATTTCTCTTTAATCAATCCAGCCATACTGTTAAAATGCCAAGTATTCGAGCACTGTATAATTTCAAACTTATCGTGAATTTATCGCAGAAAAATAACGAGTCTAATAGCTTCTATAATATAAGGCCGGTTCATCTGATCGGCAAAGATAAACGATAACCGGCTTTTATTTTGTTATTAATGCTTCTACGAAATGTTTTATCTGACACAGTGTCATTTATTTGGCAAATTTGAGAGAAGCTGACCGGTGAATGTGGGCGGATATTTCTTCGTGGTTGGCATTGTATAGTCCATTCCTTCTATGTCTTCCCAGATGTGTGAATGATTCATTGTTGCTTGTTTGCTTGCTTGTTTACCCTTGTGTCTTGAATAGGAACTTTGCTGGGTACGGAAGTGCAACGTGGTCGGCAACGACTGGAGATGACTTGAGCCCCACGCACTGCTGGCTGTAACCTATAATCAATACAGCACAAAAAATTCAAGGCATGTTACTAGAAAAGTTATTTTACCTATTCATGTCAGTAGATATTTGTCTAACTAACAACTCATGTCATATAGAAATTGGCAGATAAGTCCACGAGATTAAATAAGACAAACTTTTTGCCACGGAGTGCATTTCGCTTATCCTGAGTGCCGAAATCAAAATGCGGTTGCAAGTCCCTACTTTGACAGCAAAATAGTGCGTATCGAAAGCCGACTTTTGCTCTTTGCTGACATCACTGCGATGTGTAACCTCCTGAAACCTTTTCTACATTTAAAAATAGAACGAGATGAACGCTAACATATAACCTCTTCATTTCTGTTAACCAAAGCGATATATGTGTTAGAGCATTTAATTCCTGTCCACAATTTGTAAAAGATACTACGCAGGCGAGCAGCATCCGCAAGCATTTTGTATCACTTCCGCAGTGACTATAACGGGAGCTAGAATTTGTAGACCATTGTCGAAGGAAGAATAATAATATGTAAGTAGTCGAAATGGAAAGCTGACTTCTTGCTCGAATGCTCAGGGAAACTTGATGCGGAGTGATCAATGCCTCTACGTCTGCGTCTACGTCTTGTGATCCCGAAGGGCGAAACATGCTTGGTGAAACGCAGTAGACAGGAATTGTTACTAAGCAGCGGGACTTTGAATGGTGATGAACTCAATCTAATGACCACAGGTGGCAAATAGCTTAATGATCGATGCCGGTGGCTTCTCTCGTCATCTGCGCATCATCGCATTGGACACTTCTCATCACCTCTTTCTTAGTTGGGGAACTCGGAATTCCGTAAATTGCTCGGTCGTTACATACGTATGAGTGTGCAAAACGAAAGGCGGGCTCGATGGATCTAGATGCCTCAGTGGGGCAGGCATCAGTTTTTTGCTACAGTTACGGGTGATACTTTTGAATGAACAGCAAATTTCCTGTTTGGTATATTTCATACTATTTTGGCCTGCAGTGTGACAATACCACCGCACAAAGACAGTTCTGACAATGTGCCCTTACTCACACTGACATTGAATTTACAAAATAACCGATTTGACATTGTTCATCGCTGAACCTCCGAGTGTGCTCTGTTCAAATCGTAAAGTAGTGAGCTAGGGAGATGAAATAACATAGAAACGAATCATATGAGTGCAGTGTTTTTGCGCGGTTCTCATGGTCAAAATGCCAAGGTTCATTTCAATAAGAATCGCAGCCAACATTGAGATTACCTATCTAGCCATAGGAGCTATTCAGCAATAGTAGTCTGAACACTTTGTCCCGGATGTAAAAATAAGGAAGCAGGCTCTCGACACTTATTGTCGCAGTTTCTTTCTGATGTGAAGGTAACAATTTATGAGCATACTTCTGCCAAGCAGCAGCTTGCAATGTCTTTTGTTAATGAAGGTGTCGGTGCAAACCTCTGAAAGTTAACTGCAATGATTTTAGCTCAATCCCGCTTACTGCAGGTGCAATGCTATGCACAGCGCAAATTTGGCCATTTGCTGCCAGGCTGACGTCGACATTAAGGCAATGTTTGCCAGTTCGGGTGAATGAAGAAGCCAAACCGAGTTACTTAAGGGAGCGCAATATCCATGAGTAGTTTTCGTAACACTGAAGTAGCTCAACTGTAATCTTTGGAAAAGGAACCGGAAGATTAAACAAATAGTTTTTCACTTTAAATACGTGCCAGGCGTTATTCCCTACCAGGGAATTCGAAAGATCTCGAGCGGCGTCATCCGTGACTTTATTTACACTGCTAAGCAATCACGCATTTACGAGATCTGCTATTATCCGCAAAAATGCCGAATGATTCTAAGCTTGGAAGCAGGAAGCATTCATCAAGTGGATCGTAATCATAAGCTTAGAAAAAACACTCCGTGCCGTAGGAATCGTCAATGAAAGGCTACCCGATTCGCTTTTGGTTGAGTTGTATGCATTTGCGCTGTAATCTATGATAAATACGTGGTTAATTCGACTAACACCTTCCTTAGGAACCGCGTGATTATGCATAAGCGATAATCTGAAATCACACATTTTTTATCGATTGTGAGGTGTGATTACTTAGGATAAAGACACTTCTTATGGATGATATACTATAGCAACTCAGACGCAATCACTAGATAAAGTGAAACATCATCTGGTCAAACAGTTGTGAACAAAACGTATTCACGGTCTGGATTTAAGGCGCTACTTTGTAGAGAATTTCAATAAAAGCGCAAACAAGCGTATAAGTGTGTGCAGCATGCTGTTGCATCGGTAAAACTTGTCAACTGGAGTGCCCCATCTGGACATAAGGACATTTGTTGTGCATTTTAGTGAAGCTCAAGCAAAGCGGGAACATCATGCTTACCATTATTGGCGCAACCTGAGCAACACGCTTTAAAGTAACACTTTATCGTACTACGGACAAGTCAGCTGTATATAAAAGAAAATCCTAGTGTGTGAATAGATGAAGAATGAAATACTCAGCGTTATTTAAAAGACGCATCCAAAACAGCTTACTTGGACTCGGTATAGAGAATCAGGTAATAAATTTTCAAGAAGGATGGAGCTTTCCGACTAAAATTGAAAAAAAGTTGTGATAAGATTGGTTTACAAACAAAACGACAAAGGCAATTAACTTTTCTATTATATGGTTTTCTAACATCTAAATACAATATATGTTTGTGATAAACTCTGACCTGTTCTAGACAGATGTTTGTTAGAATAATTTCCAGAAATATTGCAAACTTATTAATATGCGTTGCAGAGAACTCATGTAGGATAAACGTACAATATTGTTTCTTTTTGTATCTCGTTTTTCGCGGAAGCCTTAAGTGCAAATTAATGTCGCCTTAGCGGGAGCCCTCGGTTGCTTGGCGGTACAAGAAGCAGGAGGCTCGTTAGGCGAAAGCGTATGCGGTTCTGAGAACCTGACCTGACCTGAATTAAACTCATATTTATCCTTCTCCTAACCGAATTTTACATTTACAACATAACGCTTCCCTGCATTCTGTTATCCATACAGCAGCTGCTTGGGTATCCACCAAGAATCCATTCTGTTTATATGCCGCAGCCCTCTCAAGTGCGGCAGCGGAATTATGCAGTGCACTGCATAAATGCCGCTGTGGCCCAGCACGGCAGTGTTTATATCACTGTTACACATAATCCGTCGCCTGCACTATAATTGAAACCGCTCCAGACACCTGAAATCCTTCCGGTACATCATCTAGGTTTCGATTCCATATAGAAGAACAGATATCACCAAAAAAGTTTATGCTATTAGCAACTTTCCGACGGAAAATTGCTGGCAGTCCTGCACAGGTATACACAGTTTGCCCACAGCGGCAGCCTTGTTCGATACGAGGATGAGCAGCTGGCACATCAAATGGAGATCTGTAGACAGTACACACAAGAGGTAACAGAACATAGTGATTTATTCCAAAATTTCAGCAACAAGGAAGATTTCAGGCAGGCAAACTGATTCAGTTTCGAATGAAGGCTAGAAAAATAAACGGTTTTAATTTTGTTGATTGTGAGCGCGAATTTGGCCGCTGTCGAAAACAGAGCACTATGTATGTGCTGCAACTCATTCGCGCTATGTGCGAACAAGGAAAAATAATCATCAAATAGCAAAACATAGATGCTTGTCTACACACTGGGGTTTTCTCCCCGAAATGGCAGATAGTCAGCAATCAGCTATAAGTACATCGTAATCACAAACATTATCAAAAGGGGAAGAGGTCATTGTATGAAAATAAATATTAAAGTGCGCAGGAGATAAGACGCAGCTTTGCTTCACACCTGAGATAATTGCAAAGTCATCAGAGGTACGTCCACTCAGCCGCATCCTCACCGGCATACCACTGTGCAGACGTACAATTATATTTATGAATTTACTCGGACAACCAAACTTACCCAACACCAGCCAAAATGCCTTGTGGTTCACCGTATCAAATGCATTGGGGAAATCAACAAACAGTAGTACAACTGCTGGTATCGTTCTCTGCACTTCTACTGCAACTGACGAGCCGCAAACACCATATCTATAATGCTGCGACCCAAAGGCAATCCAAATTGCACTTCCGCCACATTCGGTTCCACAAACTGACTGACGAGGCGGTTGAGTGGGATTCGAGCAACCAACTTGCCTACACAACTCAGTAAATTGATGCAAGGTTAATTCGTGCAACATTGTTTACTCCCTTTGCCCTTGAACTTTGTTAACACAATGGCATCCTTCAACGCTGCAGACACCTTCTCCTCAATCTACACGCGTTGAACCAAGTGATGCAACGTCGTCACAAATGCGGGTCCATCGTGCTTCAATACAAATGGGGGAGTCCGTTGGTACAAGTGCAATCGCCGTTCCGCAACTGACCGTCTCATCCACTTTGACGCGTCTGCATGACACATCTTCATCGCTTGTTCTCGTAGCCTGTTCAACGGTTGTTCAAGCGACATTCAAGATGGTTTTGCCAGCTCTGCATTATGTTTGCAGTCCGCATGCAGACAGCAGCAGAAGTAGCATTTAGCGGTCTCTTCAGCGACGACAACTTGGTTTCATAAACCACGTTTAAGTAGGCAAACATTAATAATTTGCGGCGTTCGGCCTAGCCTTCCAACTACCACGCCCATTTCGTCAGGCAAGCATTTTTGCGTCGGAGCTCTCGAGTCAGACGCGGTCGAAGTTTGCCAAAACAGTATCGCCATATGTAGTGAACGTTGTATAATTCGCTAACACAAAAGCGACAATGGTTGCACTGTTATCCTCACAACAATCATGCCGCTTGCTGTATGCGAGCTCGATCGTTTGTCGGAAGCAGTCTTATCCTGATCACACGTCTCCCACTGACACTAAGGATTCGACATCATCAAGACGAGTAGTCATGGCCTTCTCCAATTCCATCCCTTTCATAGGAGCACATAGAAAAAACATGGTTATATTTGAGCTGGTTTACGGGTAGAGCACAATACATGGATTGGCGATAACAAATGCAAAATTTGTTCGGCACTACTTTATGGTCAGTACTGCACTCAGCTCCACGCAGTACAAGTCTCATGTACACATTATGTGGGTTAACTTGGCGCACGATGAAATAGGTAATTGAGGTTCAATACAGCCAGCTTCCACATCAGATATTCGTCCATATACCAGGAAAAGCACTAGACTGCAATTTCAGCCTGTTGGGCATCCTCAGTATTGTGCATCCATTGGATCCTTCAGGATTAGAACCCATGACCACCAGCTGCTTGCTGCGCCCGTCAGCAGCTTATGACACTGGGCCACTAAGAACAGCTTCGGACCGTTATGATTTAAAAGCTGTGGTATAGTGCGTCTCATCCTCCACTGTTGTACAAGTTACGAACATTGCAGAGGATAGGGTTGACCCCGAGAGACACGTGGTCTACTAACAGTAGCTATGTATGACACAGCATTTAGAAACTGTTAGGGAGGATATATGTTGAAATGCCCATGCGTAGGAGATTTTAATATAAATAAGAATGATATAGTCCAATAGGCAAGCGCGACCACTCCGTGGGTGCGTTCAAGTAGCAAGATCACTCGTACCCAATGCATACTGTGTGCGATCGTCAGGCTGTGAATGGCGGTAATGGAGAGCAGCCGGTCAACTTTATCATTGGCCATGCTATTGCCATAGGAGCAATAACGTCTATCCATACTTGGTCAACACTCACAATGTGCGCGTTTAAATCACCACTTGATAATACCCGTTCACTCAAAGACACAAACCGAACAACGTAGGCCAACTGAACGTAAAACTGATCCCTCGTACCTTCAAGTTAATAATTGATGAGGCTATAAGTTCTAACAAAGTGACAAAGTTACCTCTTCCAATTCGCAGACGAATATACGTCAGTAGTTCGATGATGCCAGTCGGCTCTATCATCAGCTGGCCAAAGGAGCAGTCGCATAATGCATATCCGATCCCAAATGGTGCTGTGGTGACGTTTCCCCCGGTAGAACGTCTATACGGCCCCAGCCTTATCCAGCTCTTTTGCTCAGTCAGCAGAGGGTCAATGAATGCTACAATACTGACACTGTAGCTCACCAGTTCTATCGCGATCAGCGCCGTACTAGCTCAGGGCGCGCACTCGTGTTCCTGTTCAGTAGTGTGCGCACGTTCCAGCACCCGATGATAAAGGCGTTGCGCATGGGCATACGCTTGTGTTGGCGGACAATCGTATGAGTAGTGATGACCCGAATTCGATGGAACAGTGTGATGGCTAAACCGGGGACCGAAATAGTATACACAAGGAAGAAGATGGGAGGCATCAGCGTTAGTATGTTTTCTCATACATACCACGCTGTATGCAGCAGATAATGAGACCCATTTCCTAGCGTGACTGCATGACGGCCGATACATCATGGTTAGTTATTTGAACTGGAACACTGAGTGCGCCCACGCCTGACAGGAGAAGGTATGAGGTCCTCAGACCAAACCTTCGATCAAATGTACACCCGAAAGGCCGAGAGTCTTGCGTCATGAGTTAGTGAACCGACTCATGCTGAAGTGTGTCCTGGCTCTAAGCTCGAAGACGGGTGTAACCCGACTCTCACCCAGCGGTCTCCATGAAGAGTTAATGAAGCATAACGGCATGAACGTTGTAATCAACCGTAGTCTGCTAATCATGATGGCTGGTGGCACCGTGGCATGTTCTAGTACGTGATTCATATATGCCCTATGTATGTGCGTGTTTTAAACTCAAGTTGATGTTGGATTTAATATACTACTTCACCGCAGTTGGGCTAAACGAAATTACACCTAATCCAGGTCTTTTTAATCTGGATAAAGTCATGCGTCTTAATTTGTTTTTTTCCAATTTTGTTACACTGCTACATATTCTGTGTCAGTTTTGCTGGTTTGTGTTCTCTCAAATCGTATGTTGGATATTTGATATCCCTGGTGTGCCGGCGCTTGATGTGTATGTTGACAAGGTGCCCACCAGTGCAGCACCCTCCACCTCGATTACTGGATCCAGGAGACTGTGGATCGTTGCTTGGTGGGAAGGGATGCACGGTCCTCGAGATCGTGCTAGATGTAAATAGCGTTTCCATTCAGTGTTGAGCGGACTAAGGCTCTGTTACCTCCTTGTGTAAGTCTGGTACACATGTTTACTTGCATGGGTGTACACAACTGCTGCTTCTGTACACTTTGAATTAGTGTGGGCCAGCTCCCATCCACATGTCTTCCGATCTTATTGCTTCAGGTTTATACTGGTGTGAGCATGGAGCTGTGAGTGGTGAAGCGCAAGCCACCCATGTTCCCCCTGTAGGTGCAGGCTGCATGTGGCTGTCCCTTTGGAGGCACCATTGACAGGCAAACCCGGAACCGGATTCTGCTAATTATTTGGGTTCTTGCGAATTTACCTCTCAGCTCCTTCATCCTATCGGCCTGCTACCCTACGTACAATGTTCATCCTTCATTACCCTTCATTACCCTAGGCATAGGGTCACTCGACTCAGCAATCAGCTTAATTCTCCCAATCAGACAAGTCGACGACGATGACGCTAATGTGCGGGTGATGAAGGTGCGTGCTAGAGAACGAGATGGAAA